TTCAATCGGATTTGACCTATGAAGAAAAGCCAATTCGAGTTTTAGAGGAGTTGGAAAGAGTAACACGGAGTAAGATTATTAAGTTCTATAAGGTGGTGTGGAACAATCACAGTGAACAAGATGCTACGTGGGAAAGAGAGGATTATCTACGAGAAGTTTATCCCGCCTTTTTCCAAGAATGGTAGGTCTTGCAAATCTCGGGACGAGATTTTTATAAGGGGGAGGGGCTGTAACACCTCGGGTGTTAGCCTTGCATAACTTGACTTGCATAACATGAGCATGAGCATCAAGCATTCATAAACAAGCATTTACAATTGAAACATTGGATTGAAACATCAGCAACATTTGCTTGTTATCGCATGTTTCCTTGAACGTATGCAACTTTTCTCATTATTTCATGTCTCCATGTGTATATGCATATGATCATAAGAGTATACATGTAGATGGTTGGTATAAGTCACAAAAATATATTGGCAATACTTAGGTTAGCCAATGGAACATGGTTCATGAATGTCACTTCCCATGATCAAGCCTTAAGTCATGTTTCATGTGATTACACTAAATAGCTCTATGAGTGCCTAATACATGAAATGATTGTATGACCTTGCAATTAGCCTAAACATGTTTAGAGTATCATTATGAACAACTTTGGTATGCATGGCTAGGGCTAAATAGATCACTAAGTCATAGTTCATGAACAAGTCTTCATTTAAATGTGACATGTTTGACCAAGTTTGAACTAGGTGTTAGAGACCTTGCATGGAGGAGATCACTAAAGCAAAGTTGTAGTATTTGTAATAGGGAACAACAGTTAAGTTTGGGTCATGAGGTAATAAGGTGCATAGGTTAGTCTTTTGGAGCTCACAAATATCATCAAATAACTGTTTTCAACACTTAGCGAAATCTTCTAAGTCCTTTTTAAATGGCAGTTGACAGGCTCAACTTTGGACTGATTTTTCTCCCTAGCTGTTGCGAATTAGAAGAAGGTTTCTTAAGAGATTTTGTAGAGGGTACTACGGGCTACAATTGTTGTTAAAGTTGTTTGCGCTATTAAGCTACAGATTAGGTTTTTGCTCGGCTCCAAATCGCGTTGTCAGGCTGACATCGGGATGCTGATGTCTGAACTCGCCATTCGTCAGTGGCCGACCGCGCCAGAGCTTGGCCACCGCATGGAGCCGATGGAGGCCGCGCGTCACCATCGCTCTGATCAGCCCAGCCACATCGAGCCGCAGTGCCCTGCATAGCGCCCCGAAGTCGCCTGCTCCGTCCCCGCGCTTTCATTTCACTTTCTGTTGCCTCCTTCGCTCACCCGTAGCCGCCACCGTAGCTCAGGCGCGCCGCCGACGCCATTGCCGGCACTAGCTCGCCCTCGTCGCCCCTCTATCACCATAGAAGCCATGTAGTGCCCCCTCAGTCCCACCGCGCCTGCATTGCTAGCCGAAGAAGCACGGTAAGCTCCCGTGCCACGTGCGGTCCTCGCCGGAGCTCCGCCGCCACCCTTCGTCGCCGTGGTCCCACCTAACCTGACCACTGCAGACCACGAGAGCGCGCGCAATAGGTTCCTTATAGTCCAGCGATGCTCGTCCGAGCTTTTGGTCACGCCGCCGAGGTAGTCACCGGCGTACCGCCGTCGTCCCGCCTCGCCGAGCTGCCATGGCCGCCGCCGTCGTCACTAGCGTCGACGATAGGGCCGGCCAAGTAGTGCAAAAGTTGCGCCTGGTCGAGTAGGTCGTACCGTGAAGACCTCACCGCCGGCGAACTCGCCGTCGACGAGCCATGGCTGCGCAAGCTTGCACAAGCGCCGCTGCTCTGTTTTCACGTCGCTGACGTATGGGTCGAACTGGCAAATGGGGCCCGGCTGTCAGCGACAGTAGGAGATAGGATAGTTCAAATATTCCAGATTTTGTGTGTGTTTTGTAATTTCTAGATCTCCAATTTGGTAGCTTCAAAAATTATGAAATAAATTTGGTTATGTTCCTTAGGAAGTGTAGTATTTAATAAAAATATGATCTTGACACTTACAGTAGAATTTTTGGAAGATTTAAATAGAGATTTGAAATGTGTTTTTGAATACATGCAAATTTGTTTATTTTATACCTAGAGTTCCTTTGCTCCAAAAATTATGAAATTTTTGTGGTAAGCTATTTTTGTCATGTGTGAACTCTGGTAAAAATTTGAGGATCAGTGCATGTGTAGATTTGTAGTTATAGATTTTTCTTTTATAATTAGGAGATCCTTGTGTGAATTTTTATAAATTATTTAGGAATCCAATATTCATGAAATTTTTTGGAGGTTATCCTAGTAGTATATGGATGCTAAGAAAAATAGGAAATCTGTTGCTTGACACTTTTCACTAGGGTTTTCTAATTATGCTAATTCAAGCCTTGCTGCCTTGTCATTTTTGTATAGGATGTTTTACTTGGCAAAATGTCATGAAATTTTTACAGTAGTCTATTGGTAGCACTAGTAAGCCACTGTAATTTTCTGAGAATTTATGATGCATATTTGGTATAGGTTTATTATTTAACCTATGTGTCCAAATAAAATAATAAATGCAATTAAATAAATAGTTTGGGCTTCACCATTATGTTTTCTTGGATGTATTTGGTATGCTTAAACTGTTGGTAGACTTTTGGTTGTAAAAATTTGAATACTTATATGAAGTAGAAGTATTGTTACTTTATAATGCGAATTGGAATAGTTTCTGGACAGATTCTGGAGTTTGCTAAGTTGTATGATAGGGATGATGTTTGCTGTAAAAATGGTTAATAAAAAAGTTGTAGATAATTTGATAAGCTTTCCAGAAAGTCTAGGATAACTACATTTGGATTAGTAGAACTCTAGTTATGAGTGAAACAAATAGCTGCTGTTTTGTGAACATAGTAGATGCATTGTGGAAGTAGTAATTAAATAATCGAGAAGAGATATGCACCTACTCAATAAACATGGTGCACTTGTTAACATATATGCATTCATAATACTTATGCCATATTCATGCATCTAGGATCGGAGGAAGAGATAACGTTGCTGGAATTCGAAGAAGCAGAGGAAGGGGACCCGTAGGAGAATCCGCAAGCCGCAGCTCCCGAAGGCGTGGAGCAGAATCCTAAAGAGCTTCCAGAGTGTCCTGATCACCGCCCTACTTCCTTTCTGCGAGGCAAGCCCTGGAGCATTCTAAGTCTCCCAGTATTTTACAAATGATTACTTAAGTACTTATGATTGATGCATTAGGTATAAGAGTTGAATGGAACCACTTGATGCATATACATTCCTTGTCCAGCTATTACACCTTTAACCGGTATAGGTCCAAGATCGAATATATGCTTAGCCATGCTTAGACCGGTAGAAGTCGGGTGATTTCCTGTCACCTGCGAGATATAGGAGGATACCAGAGCACGGTTGGCTATGATTGCTATGGTGGAAAAGAACCATGGTTAATGTAAATGGAGACCGGGCGGGATGTCGATAGAGAAGCAACAAGACATGGAGGTCTTGGGTGTGGATCTATCCCTGTCTATGTCGATTAAAGACCGTACCGTTGTTGGCGCTTCTAACAAGATTGAACGCATGCCTCTCACTTAGCTGGCCGGATAACTCGTTCCGACCGTGAAGTCGAGTAATTCAACTCAAGCCAGGACCCGTTCTGTTGTGCGCTCCTTCCGGGGAACGATCAGACTGAGCCCAAGGGTAGGCTAGGCCTGAACGTCCTAGCATCTGGTGTTCCAGATTGTGCGGCGCGGTATGAACCCATGAAATGTGTACCTGAGTTGTACCAAAGGTGACCTAAGGCTATCGTGGCTGGTAGACCTGGGTTTGTATTAGGAATAAATTCCCAGCTGGTTGAAATCGATTCGAATCGCCGTCTCTCCCGGATAGTGAGAAACTTGGCTAGTCCCAACATCGTAGTAACTGTGTTATGGAACATGATGGTTCGAATGAATATGGAATTACAATACCTGCTATGGTTACTATTGTATGCTTTTAAATTTATATACCACATGTTTGGCACAGGATAGTTGCTAATCTAGAAATGGATAGTTATAAATAATTGATAAAGGAATCCTAATTGTACAATAAGTCAATTGCTTTTATGCAAAATGTTGTCAAGCTATCCCCACTTATACAGCCTTGCATAATCCTTGGAGTCATTTTATTTCTGGTTTATGATGGGTAAGTCTAGCTGAGTACCTTCTCGTACTCAGGGTTTTATTTCCCATGTTGCAGATGGCACTGTGTATCATGGTTATTTTAAGAGTTGCTTATATCCCGCTGTGGATGAGGAGTAAGCCTTGGGTAGGCTTCTTATTAATCCTTCTACATGCTTTTGTGGACCGTGATCGTATTTTGGCACTATACTAAACTATGTTGGAAACTTTACTTTCAAACTTAATTTGCTTCCACTTTTATCTATGAAACTCGGTTTGTAATAACTTTTATTCATACTCTGATGGTGAAATGTATCTGTGAACTTTATGTAATATGTGGCATGTATGTTGAATTATGTACGATCTTGGTTGTTGTAAATCATTTATCAAGACCCGTCGTGGTACTCGACGGACTACCGGGTTTATATGGGTTCAAGTATGACAGTGCGACCGCTTGTGGGACGCCATTGTACTTGTACTCTTATAAATTGGTCGGTTCTGCGACAAAGGTAGTGCATGGTTTGTCTGTACATGACTGTGAAATGCTATGTTGATGTTCCTATATGCTTACTGGGTGAGATTAGTACATAGAAAAGATGTTCCTATATGATTGCTGGTTGTTACTTTTCCTATATGCTAGCAGGATGGTCCTATCTGTGCTTAGGAAATAAATAGTTGTCCCTATATGCTTGCTGGATGGCATTATTACATGGATAGGATATTCATATCTTTAATGTTCATGTACTTTAAAATGTATGCAGCAATATGTTTTGTGATGGTTTTCATAACTTGGCTTGTGAAATAGATTCTGCATAATGAACTTACTAATGTTGCACCTATTTGCTGTAGAGTACCATGGAAGATATGTTGGCCCATCCTGCTCAAGACTTGGAGACACCAAGATCTAGTATTGAGATAGTTTCGAAGGTTCTCTCACAAACCAGTGTAGCTTCTACATTCCTCAAGAATGCTGGTATTGAAACACCAGTAAGCAAGTCTGCTGCATCAGCTGCAAGAGAGGCACAACTTCGGGAACAGCTACAGGAAGAGAAGGAACGGGCTGATAATCTTAAAGAACAACTGGTCCATCTAAAGAAGAAAGCTGCAGAAACAGAAGAATCCATGGCTAGGACCCAAGAAGTTATGCTCAAGAACCAGCAAGAGCTGGAGGAGTTCAAGAAGAAACAAGAAGCTAATGATATGATCCTTCAATGCATCTTGGGCCTCCACTTAGGTAATCGAGCTACTTAGCTTGTTCCTGTCCTGCCTAGGTTCCTCTGTAGTCCAGTGTTGTGCTAGGCCGTGTCGCTACTGCTGGTACTCATAATAAGTTGCAGAACTTGGTCTATCAGTTGTCGCTTGTGAACTTATTCTGTGATTGCCTGGTCTATGGAACTTGTTTGTGAACTTATGGTTCAAGTGATGTGAACCTATGGAACTTGTGGTTCCCCTGTGTTTGTGGTTCCCCTGTGTTTGGGAACTTTGGTTGTGAGAACATTTAAACATGTGATGTATAAACTATGTATGATGTATGAATTGTTGTATGTGGTAAATTATGTTCTGTTTCTAGAATGAGTGATAAGGCACGGCTGCAGCCTGTATTTTATCCAATCAAAGAATTAATTTATGACGAAAAAACATCATCGTTCACGCACTGCCACGTCATCGCCAGTGTTAAGATAATGCCACATGTCAACCTCTCAGAAATACACATGTCAACCTCTCAGAAATACATGTGTCAACCTCTCAGAAATACACGTGTCGACCTCACAGAGCATACATGTGTCGACCTCATATTGAAACACGTGTCAACCTTGTTTTAGGACACGTGCCGTACTCATAGTCACACACGTGTAAACCTTAGCTTAAGACATGTGTCGTCCTGAGCGAATGAAACGCATCAACATTACCGTCATACATGTGTCCACTACAACGCCTGCTGAAATAGCTCAGTGACGGTGCCCAAATCATCACGGATGTAAACTTATCTGTGATGAAACACGACAAATCATCACAGTGCAACATTTGTGACGCTACAAAGATGACGAATAGAATTTTGTCATAACTTCGTCACAGATATCTTTCCATGACGCTATTAGCGTTTACTATGACATTATTAGATCGTCTCAGATGTGCACTTTTTTAGTAGTGTCGGAAATCCCGACCTTGAAGTCTAGGTGCCCACGCCCGAGCAGGCTCGGGGGCTCACTGTGATCTTTTAATAAACATCACGATCTTCAAACAAAGAACCATCTCTTATTCAGGGTCGGCGATTGTTGGCGATGCTTAAACTCGTAATCCTACCACCAACATATAAACAAAATGAACAAATGTAAACATCAAAACTTAGAATTAGGGATTTTAACTTACACTTTCCACAAGTTTTGGTACAAGCATGTTTTGTAGGTCACAAACATAAATGCATGGAGAAATTCACTGAAAGGCGCTTTCCGACGCTGATTTGCGCAAAGGAACAACAAAGGCGGCCATCAACTCAACTCAACTAGGGCAAAGCACCACCGGGGAGCGATCCAGGTCTAGCCCAAGGCCTGCCACATGAAGGCAGCGGCCAACGGCGGTGGTCAAGGGGCGGCTGACCCTAGGGGGCGGGTGACCCCCTATGGGCGCCTTCCTGCCTCTCCTCGCTCTGGCAGTGGAATGCCACCATGTTGAGGCAGTGCAACCCTGTCCTCATGCCAATAATAGCTTAAGCACCGCCATCCTTGTAACACCTCGGCTCAGGGCTTAATAGGATTAATAGGATACTCGTACCAATAAGTTGCAACTTCTTTTCTAGAAGCCCATCTCTTAAGAACTCTAAGGTTAAGCGTGCTTGGCCTAGAGCGATGGGTGACCGACCGGGAAGTTCTTCTCGGGTGCGCATGAGTGAGGACAAAGTGCGCAGAAAAGACAAGTGTTGGTCTGTGAGGGCAGTCTATATCCTAGTTAAGCTGTCGGATGTAAGCGGGCCTAGTCTCGGAGAGGTGGGACGTTACAATCCTCCCTGTATAAATAGAGAGGTAGAGCTCCCCTCTAGAACACACATCTATAGAGCAAGAAAGAAAGGGAGAGCTACATTTCTACTTAGCATTCAGCTAGAATAAGAGTGGAGTGAGTGAAGAAAGAGTTGGAGAAGTGTCGGGGCTATCGGCAACCTCCCTTACTGTGCAAGCTACACTAGCGGAAGAGTGTCAGAGCTAGCAACTCCTCCACTTGTACCTCTATGAACATCTTACTACTTGGAGTAAGAAGCTCATGTTTAACTTTGGTATTGATTGCTTAACAAAACTACCTTTGATCATTATAAACTTGTGGGTTCATCGTCCATCCTTGTGGAGGGTACTCTAGTAGAAGGGCCTTGATAGAGATGGATAACCCTTGCAAGCACGCTAGAGTAATAGTTGATAGCGTAGATGTGGTGTCTAGGCTAGAAGCTATCTTTGTTTGCTTCATTCCCCACGGTTGAGGGGTAGGCGGCAGGTGGTGACAGCCCTGTCCATCCTTTGTACTCCCCCATGTTCGGGTTCGACGCAGAGCGTAGGCCGGAATCGCTTGGTAGACTAGGTGCAACCCGACGCCCAAAGCAAGTCTATAATGTCAAAGTTAGCCCTGCTTAAGATATCTACCATTAGAAAAACCTCACTACCCAAGCTACTTTTCACTTGTTTTCTTTAGGTAATCTAGCTAAGAGACTTGCACATCCATTCCTTTAGGAAAATATGATACCCTGAATATCTCCGGGTGAAGTGCTACAATAGAGTATCCATACACTTGTAGATTCCTCTACTTACGCTAAGAAACACCAACAGCAATTACAAGCATGGTTGAGCCATACACCACATCAAAATCCTGGTGACACCAACACGGTGGAAAGGTCACAAAATCCAAAGGCCACGATGCTAGAAGGAGGCTTGCGGGACGTCCCCCTCTATCGCTGATCAAAAGCCCAACAGAAAGGGACACCTCACAAACCCCTTTCAAGCATCGTGGCCGACGAAGCTGAAGAGGCAGGGCAAAAGGCGGACAACGCCATTTTTGCCAAGATGAGGATAGGGCGGTGGAACCATCCAGACCTCAGGACCACCTTGCAACTCTGGGTCAAAAGCCACAGAGGGCGAGGAGGACACAAGGCTATGGATTCAAGGGCCACACCAACTCATCCCCCCTCGCCCACAAACCTCCTTCTCGCACCAGTTGTTGGAAGGGGCGGAAGAAAGCGACCCTTTGTGGGTCGCATGCTTGGGACCTGACAGTTCTCTCCTAATCTCTCTCCCATTACCACACTCTCTCAATAGGGAAGTAGGGAGCGATTTCTACTCGCAGCCATGAGTGGTTCAATGGTTGGAAAACCTCCATTTATAGGCCTAAAGGCAGATTGAGCAGCCTGAAACCCCCACGCTGTGTGGCGAACCACAAGAGGCCACAATAAATGTCAGATGCCCACATAAGGTTGTGGAAGTAGAAGCCTTCACAAATGCAGGACCAGTTCAGCGATCAATGAGACCACTCGGTCCCGCTAGGGTCACGAACCCCGATACACAGCACATTGACACGACAAGGCTTCGTAGTCATGTACCACATCGTTAGGGTGCCCTGACGGGGCAGAGCACAATGGCCACCTACCCCATTGAACGCGCCAACCCACAAGGGCTCGAGCGATGAAGATTGAACAAGCCACGAACTATGAACCCGCATTCGATATGCACGCAATACAACGCTTTCACAATCACTTCGCGATCACAAAAACACTCAGGGGCTACTGTCGAGGTTATGACCCTAGGGTGTCTCAGGGCATCGATTAGTTAATAGGCCAAGCATCCCACAAAACATTGGCTAGCAAAAGCCCAAACGACTGAGGCCCAGCTAAGCCAAGTGAACTAGGCCAGACGCCAAGGCTAAGGTCAACCACGACCCCTTCCTTCTGTCTTAGCTGAATGACAAAAGACTCACGACCTCTTCACCATCACTACCCCTAGGAGGAACGGGGAGAGGTCAAGCCTAGCCAAGCGTGCCTGCCCTAACAAGGATAAGCACGCCGCACTGGCCCCACAAGGACTGAGGGGACAGCGGTCACCATGATCCAGTTAGACGCCATCCCTACGCCATGCTGTGTAGACAAGACAACACAACACAACGGTGACAACTAGTACGGTGACCCACCATCCAAATATGGTCCGACAGGACACATGTACGATTCTGCCCACTATGGGATGTGATCCACGATGAAGGTCTTGACTTAGAGGCCATCCAGACTGGTGGGAGCCATGACGCCAACAATTAGGATCGTGGCCCTCAGCTCCTCAAACCAACATGGCGATCGATGAACCGAGGGTGGCTACCAACTCCTGTATGATGCCCCAAGAAACCAGGAGGTGATGACGAAGACCACAACGGACACCATGTTGCAAAAGACGGCTGGCAAACCACCTCCATGCCTATAGTGCCGCCATGGCCAGCACAATAACACCATGCCACACCATATCGTGACGTGGCCACAAGACCATGACGACAACCATGCCCGGACGTGCACCACAAGATGGCGTAACTTGCAAGCCAAGTTAGCTAGGCCCTCCCTCATGCTCATGACCCTTCGATCGGGAGAACCTACCTCTTTGTACCTGCCCTAGCCCCAAACTCTATACAAGGGCAGCCAGGGCATCCTTCATGTTCATCCTTTACCATTTGATTCATTCTCCATCATAGTAGGTCTCCTGGAGCTTCCCTTCAATAGTCCATCTCCTAGCTCTAGCTCTCCTACCTCTTCCACCATTCTTGCACCCCCATTGTAAGAACTTTAGAGCATTCAAGCAAGAAACATGCACACGATCTTCTCTGAGACTAGACATAGGGCTCTGTCCTAAACCAGTATAAATCCTCGTGTCTTTTGGATGCTACCATAGTCTTTCTAGAGCAGCGCGGCAATCGTATAAATTTACTAGTCCAGTTTATAAAACACCAACAAACTCGATGTAAAGGTTCCAGGACTTGAAAACATAAAAGAATTATACTCCACTCATCCTGACTTTTTAGAACCTTATGCAAAATGTACAACTAGAAAAGGATGGAAAAAATATCATATACATGATGGATTTTTGTTTAAAGCTAACAAGCTATGTATTCCTAGTTGCTCTGTTGGACTCTTGTTGTTACAGAAAACACATGTAAGTGGATTGATGGGTCACTTTGAATGGAAAAAGACATGAGATGTTGGTTGACCATTTCTATTGGCCAAAGATGAGAAGAGACATTCA